AAAAAGAAAGGTTCTGGTTAAGTGTGCAATATTCTGCAATCCATGTGGGGTTAGGACTCAAATCTGGAGAAGATGGTGTTCTGTGAGACACACCAGGTTCCTAGTCCTTTCTGAATTTGTTGATTGGGATTATGAATTGGGTGTGTTCAGAGACCCAGAAAATGGGGGTTGATTTATAGTTTATAGTTTTTTTTAAATTTAGATACACCCTGTCTTTAGTGAGGGCAAAAGAAGTGGAGACTGATTCTTTTCTTACAGGCTTCAAGCAAAGCTTTTAGACTACACTAGGAATTGATGAATTTTTTTCTGTAAAGGGCCAGATAGTAAATATTTTGGGTTTTGTAGGTCTTACAGTCTCTTGATACAGCTACCCCCTTCCGCCACTGCGGAATGAAAGTAGCCATAGATAGTACTTACAATGAATGGGTGTAGTGTAGCTGTGTTCTAGTAAAATTTTATTTGTAAAAACAGGTGGTGGGCTGGATTTGTCCTGCAGTCTATCATTTATTGATCCCTGAGCTAGATCAAAATACATGATTTTTTTTTTTAATTTTCTTTCAACGTTTATTTATTTTTGGGACAGAGAGAGACAGAGCATGAACGGGGGAGGGGCAGAGAGAGAGGGAGACACAGAATCGGAAACAGGCTCCAGGCTCTGAGCCATCAGCCCAGAGCCCGACGCGGGGCTCGAACTCACAGACCGTGAGATCGTGACCTGGCTGAAGTCGGACGCTTAACCGACTGCGCCACCCAGGCGCCCCTAATTATTTTACTATGTTTCAGCAGAAATAACATATGAATTTAATTTCTTTTTAATGTTTTATTTTATTTTTGAGAGAGACAGAGACAGAGCGTGAGCAGGGGAGGGGCAGAGAGAGAGAGGAAGACAACAGAATCAGAAGCTGGCTCCAGACATTGAGCATGTCTGCACAGAGCCCGACATGGGGCTCAAACCACAAACTGTGAGATCACGACCAGAGCCGAAGTCAGACGCTTAACCAACTGAGCCACCCAGGCGCCTCCATATAAATTTAAAACATAAAAATTCTATTCTTTTTCACTGTGATCAAGAAAACTGTAAAGATAGGTGCATTAATTTCTGCTTTTGTCAAAACAGACAGAATTAAGGAGATAAAACAGACTTGTAATGATTAGTAGTTTCAGTAGTTTCTGTCCCCATCCAAAAACACTTATTTCAGAGCTTCTCTTTCTGAAAAGTGCATTCTTTTGTGGGCTCTGTGTCCCTTCACAAGACCAAACTTTGAATTGGATTAACAGCCTTTTCAAAGTTATTTTGCCTTAGTATTCATTGAAACGATTTCTTTTTCAGTTTATAAGTTGAATTTACTATACTGTTTCTTAGTTGAGATATTTTTAAGCATATTCTTTGTTTCTGTGATATTTTTGATAACCAAAAAAAAAAGAGTTTTTATGTATATAAACATTTTCTCTATACAGAATGGGAAAGTTTGCATAATTTGACATTTGAAAATCAAATTTTAAATAAATAATTGTGTATGTGAAAATAGCAAATCAAATAAAGCATACTTGAAATGTTATTGAATCTTTTTTTATTGAGTTACTTTTGATTATAGACTATGGAGGTGGCAACCAGAAATGAGAAAATAGCTTACTGTTTCTGCTACCTCCTGTATATAACCCTAAGTCATTCAAGATGGTTTTGTGGTACCTTCTCAACAATTGTAGTGTATATAGATTACCCTTCTTTCACAAGTTATTCTAATTGGCTCCTCCAGCTATATTAAAGTATTTTTTTATTGTTACACATTGACTCATTATCTTAGATACTTTACTAATTATTAATTTATTAATTACTTATATTATATGTAGTATCTTGTTGAGAAATATATTATGTCTCAATTCAAGTTCAGAATTTACTTGGGCAATAAATAAAAGTTGACCATTGTCCCTTTGAAAAATTGACTCTGGGGGGGGTGCCTGGGTGACTCAGTTGAGCGTCCGACTTTGGCTCAGGTCATGATCTCACGGTTCGTGGTTTTGAGCCCTGCGATGGGCTCTGTGCTGACAATGTGGAGCCTGGAGCCTGCTTCGGATTCTGTGTCTCCCTCCATCTCTGCCTCTCCCCCTCTTGTGCTCTGTGTGTGTGTGTCTCTCTCTCTCTCAAAAATAAATAAACATTAAAAAAGTTTTATAAGAAAAAAATGAAAAGTTGACTCTGGGTGAAAACCAATCTGAATTGTAAAAAATTTGAAGTTGAAAGTAGAGAATAGGCTAAAAGGTTCCCTGAGGTATTTTTTTTAATGCAGATAGTACTTCTTTGAAGTCTTTAAGGATATTTTCAAAGTTTACTCTTTGATTTTTGTACCATACCTTCTATAACTTTGTTTACAATTTGTACTGCTTTAGATTGTTAAGGATTGGTAGGGTTCACTCTAGTGCTTATTTTAAGTTACCACAAATTCTCAACTAATATAGTCCAAATGACATAGCCTTTAAGTATGCATGAAACAAGTTTATACTTAATAGTTGCATATGAAAATTGTTTCCCTTCTCTTTCTCTAGGGTAATGTGTTTATGTATTATGGACTGTCTAATTTCTATCAAAACCATCGTCGTTATGTGAAATCTCGAGATGACAGTCAGCTAAATGGAGATGCTAGTGCTTTGCTTGTAAGTAAAATGATGAAATATGAAAATGTGATAGATGTAAATAAGAATGTGGAATAATTATTCAGTTACAAATGTTAAATTTAATAATGTTAGGATGAAATTAAAGTGTTACTTGTCATTTATACTTGTTTAGTGAGGGTTTTTAGTAAAAATTTTTTTTCGCCTGTAATTTGCACAGATTAATGATTTCTTACAATTTCTTACTACCTGCTTCTTTCTAGTACTGCCATTGGATTTTTGCTTTATTAATCTGTAATGGAATTTTGATGAGTCTAGTATTCTGGGTATATAATTGGTTCTTTTTTGAGTTTGTTCATTACTGTTATACTCGGTAAGAATGTATAAATAAACTACTTTTAGTTTCTGAGGTTATGTTTTAGAATTGAACATGTATGCTGTCTGTTTTTTAACTTGTGGTAAGCCTGAGTAGTAAAGTTCAAAGGATGGGTTACCGAAAAATTGTCTGAGGACCTTTTTGAAAATACAGATTCCCGACTTCTCCTAAGTGTAGTAAACCAGTCTCTGCAGGGGTGGAGCTCTAAAATATCTTTTTAACAAGCTTCCTTTCTGATGCCCAGCCTTATTTGGGCTAGAGGATCTTAGTTTCCTGACTGTTGTTCAACTTTTCATAGTGGTGGGTGGTGCCCAAGTATTTTATGTAATTGTTGCTAATGCAGCAAATCTTCAGAGTTCCAGAGCTATTGAGGATTTCTTAGAAACAGTGAATCTCAGGGTGCCTGGGTGGCTCAGTCGGTTGAGCATCGGACTTTGGCTCAGGTCATGATGTCATGGTTCGTGGGTTTGAGCCCCGCGTCAGGCTCTGTGCTGACAGCTCGGAGCCTGGAGCCTGCTTTGGATTCTGTGTCTCCCTCTCTCTGCCCCTCCGCTGCTCACGCTCTGTCTCTCAGAAAAAAATAAACATTGAAAAAAAAAAGAAACAGTGAATCTCTTAGAATGCAATTTAAGACTATAT